AATTGAACTCAGGACCTTGTGCCTGCCAGGCAGGTGCTTGTGCCACTGAGCTATATCCCCAGTCCAAGACTTTCTTATTTCTTTCTTTTTTGAAACAAGGTCTGGCTATACAGCCCAGGTCGGCCTTGAACTTGTGGCAATGGTCGGCCTTGAACTTGTGGCAATCCTCTTGTCTCAGCTTCCCAAGTGCTGGGATTACAGGTGCATGCCACCATGCCTGGCTATCCAAAGTTTCAAACACCTGACATGTATTTTTGTGGCTGACAGATATTTTCATTCTAATTTCTTTAGGATATTATAGTCATCAACAAGGGAATGCTACAAGGAAGACTTGATTAACAGATATAGAATAAAATCAAAGACCCATTCAGTGGGGCTGGGGACAGAGCGGCATGGTGCCTGCCTGGCAAGCGCAAGGTCCTGAGTTCAACTCCTGCTACCAAAAAACAGAAAAGAAAAGAAGGAAAACAAAACGACCCATTTAGGAAGTAGAAAGTTACAACAACAGTGAGTATCATGACAAAGAGAATGAATCTGGCAGTAACAGAGCTCGAAGAGGAAAGGAAGACTAAAAGGTAAATCTGAAGGAACAGGCAGCTGAGCTCTCCCCAGCCCTGGGGCTCCTCACTGACTGGGCTTCAGTTACCCTTAGACGACGGCAGTGGCGCTCCGAGGACTGCTACGTGATCTGGGTCCAGGGCGGCGAGGGTCACACCATTGGGAGCAGCACCAGACACGACAGCCTTGAGCAACGGTGATCTGACCAGTCTCTGGTTCTTTTCTGTGTCGCTCGGATATATTGGGATCAAGGTTTCGTACACACATCCATCGGAGCCTGTTGGAAATAAATACTGTGGTTCAGTGATGGGTTAAGGACAGCTCTGTATCTATTCTAACTAAATGTAGTAGGTTTAAAAGATTTTAAAAACGTGCTGAACAACCCAAGCAGAAAAACAACCGCATCACTCTGCTTTCCTTTAAAGAATACGTCAAACGTAAAATTGGCAGGAGGAACATCAGCAATAAAAATCACAGTAAGAAAGGCATAATAAACCGGGCACAGTGGTGCACACCTGTAATCCCGGCACTCGGGAGGCTGAGGCAGGAGGATCGTTGCGAGTTTGAGACCAGCCTGGGCTACAAAGTGAGCTCAATGCAGCCTGAACTGTATAGTGAAACCCTGTCTCAAAAAGACCAAAAAAAAAAAAAAAAGTCATAATAGCCAAAAGAAAAACAGCACACACCTGTAATTACTTAGAAATACTGAGAGGGCGCTGGGCATGGGCTCATGCCCGTTATCCCAGCTCTTGGGAGGGTGAGGCAGGAGGACCACTGTGAGTTCAAGGCCAACCTGAACTACACAGCAAGATCCTGCCTCCAAAAAACAAAACGGAACAGAACAAGTCCACACTAGAGAGCTGGATGGAGGGGCACTGCAGATTGAACTCAGGGCTTTGACAGCGAGCGACTCCTGAAGCCCAAGAAATTAGAATCATCACTGTGTTACATTTGCTGTTACTCAGTCTACCTGAAAACCATATGAAACTGCTGCTTTTTGCAGGTCAACTGAATTCTGCAAGTTTTACATGGTTCTAGCTATGTTGCAGAAAGACTTACATAACCCTTCAGCTCCGACACCCTGCAGTGTTCGTTATACTAAAATGTAAAGCACATGTCAATGACCTGGTGATGGTAAATGAAGAGAGCATTTCTAACAGCTGCTGCAAACAGCTGCACATTGAAAACCTTTCATAAAGATGACTAAGATAATACAGAACTATACCCTAGGTATTTTATGTTTGTTTTGTGCTTTGAGACAGGGTTTTACTCTGTAGTTTAGACTGGCCTTGAACTGACTATGTAGGTTAGGTAGGCCTGGAACTTGCAGCAATCTTCCTGCCTCAGCCTCTTAAACCCCGGGATTACAGGCGTGTGCTACCATATCCAGCATTTCCTACATGTTATTCTTGTTTTCTCCTCCATGATTTCTTCAAGATGACTTTGAAGCTGCGAAGGGCTGGAGGACAGGACACTACAAAGGCTAGTTTCTTTCTCTTGCCCTAGAAACGTAATAAGCCTGGGTTTTTTTCCTCCGGTACCGGGAACCGAACTCATGACCTTGCACTTGCCAGGCAGGCGCTGTGCCGCTGAGCTAAATCCCCAGCCCCTAAGCCTGGGGTTTTTTTACAACATTATGAAGATGTAGATTTAAGATAATAAAAAAATTTTTAAATCTGTTAAAAAAAATCTACAAAAAGTAGGTGGCAAACCAGGCATGGGGCACACGCCTATGATCTCAGCACTTGGAAGCCTGAGGCAGGAGGACTGCCGTGAGTTTGAGACTAGCCTGGGCTGCGCTGTGAGTTCAAGGCCGGCCTGCATTACACGGCGACTCTCTCTAAAGGCAGCACACGGCACAGCCAGCCTGCTCTGTTTCTGTCTGTGTCCATCTGTCTCACTCACTGTCTAAAGAAAAACACACCGAGTCTAACAGGTGGACGGAGGAACAGAACACTCGGCGTCAGGCAGGTATGTCATGGTCTAACAGTTACTCTGTCAAAGATCGCGGCCTTATCATAAGGATACAAAAGATTTTCCTTTTTCACAGGTATTATATTATTTATGCTTATGGCGAACTTTAAAACACGGAAGTTACAGAAATGATGTCTGAAAACTGTGCTTCAGCTGAAGAACTTACACATAAATTCCCTCAGAGCACAGCACCACTGACCCCAGTGCATGACCACCCGGTGATGCCGAGGGCAAAGGCATAAATCCCTATCAGGAAGCAGGAAAAAATAAGACCATAACAGAAAACTGCAAGACTCACAACTACCCCAGCGCACATATCCTCTTCCTAAACATTGCTAGCAGTTGAAAGCAAACTTACTTAATGTCATTAAAGAGATAAACTTCCGATCCACAGACGCAGTAAAACTCCGGGTAACAGATTTTTCTTCTTGTTCAAGCAGGAGAGTGTATTTGCTTAAGTTTCGTGAGTGGAGCATCTGTACATAAGCAAAATGATTTCCATCCTGCAATAAAAGGGTAATTGTATTTTGTAAATATTGCCATTTTAACCAACTACATTTAATGTTTTTTTTGTTTTGTTTTCCAGTACATGGAATTGAACTCACGACCTTGCGCTTGCCAGGCAGGCGCTGTGCCGCTGAGCTAAATCCCCAGCCCCCAACTATGTTTAATGTTACAACTAGAAGTTGTCATTCCATTCTCACTACTTCAATGAGTGCTTAACTTCTTGTCCAAATTAAATTTAAAATGTTGTAAGTAAAAATACTCAATTTAGGCATGGAAGTAATTCTAATATACTTTATTGTTTAGAAAAATTTTAAAAATTTAAGAATCTTCTGAAATACTAAAGTTCCATTTTAGCCTTAAAAATAATACAGGCAATTTTAAAATTTCACAGAAGGCCAGGAAGTGAAGATACTACTTACTTTTTCAGTAATAAAAACTATGACAGGATGCCTAAATACCACGAAAAACTTTGTCCACCTAAAAGCAGAAAAATTTCAAAACACAAAAGTCAGTTCAGAAAAAAAGGGAGCAAAATTTAAGAAAACATTATTATTATTGTTTGGAGCCAGACGACAAGAGAAAACATACACCACAGGCAATCAGTGGGCGTCCGTCTGTCAGAGGTGTCTCTGGGTTAAATGCAGGATGCAGGACAGTTCCGAGAGAAGGCGAGAGTGCTGTACACGGTGCCTCCTCCACCCCTTCCCTCAGGATGACTTCCGGGACAGGTGTTCTAGGGAGATCGTCAGGGTCCCATCTGCCTACTGCAGTGACAGCCACAGGGAGGCCGGCGGCCTGGTAACCAAGGCAGCACGGACAGCCTGTGGCGACGCGATGGTCAGAACTTGGAGAATCCCCCAAGCACAGGTCCTTACACCACCGAGGCGTGTACCAGGTCAGTCTAAGATACAGCCGTCACTGCCCACACTGCTCGCTCACTAAACACAAGTCTTCGCTCGGACTTCTGGGCAATGTGATGAAATAACGAGGGCTGGAGAAGTGAGACCACGAAATGTCCTTCTCTCACTTGGGCGCCATTTGTTCAGGCTTACTCCAGAGTCTGCAGGGAGCAGAGGCCTCACAGCAGTACTGATTTCACTAACAGCAAGTTGTACGCCTCTCTAGAGGAAAAGGCTGTGACTTGGCGGTCAGGGCAATATGACAGACACAAAAGCTGACGGAGTCCTGGACTATCTGCTTCGGCTTAAGACAACGGACCGTCCAGGTCTCAGTCGCTGCAGCAGGACTCACGTGACCACCGTTTCCTCCATCACTTCGCACCCCAGCATCCTTTGCGGGATGCTGTTTTGGTCAGCATCTCCTACGAGCGTTTTACTAGGCCTCTGTCTCTGTTGGTGAGGCGCCGGGCACTGAATTTGGGGCTCCCTGCATGCCAGGCAAGCACCCTACCTCCGGGCCACACGCCCAGCCCTAGCCCTAGCTCGCTTTCACCGTGCTTCTACCCTTGAACACAATGAAGAATGTAAGAAATACACAGCGCATTTTCACTTTGGTAAAAATTCACTTCCAAATACTGAAACTTACTTAATCACTTCTCCATCGGAGAGGACGGTTTCAATCTTCTGCTGGGGCTCCGCGAGCAAAGCCTCCAACCCGCGAGCCGCGCCTCCCCTGAACAGCACCACGGGCTCTGCTCCTTGCACCGAGTGTACCCTATGAACCTCAGCTGACAACTGAAAAACATTAAAAATGCTCTTATTCTAAACAGCTTATCCTCGGGGCTGGGGATTTAGCTCAGTGGCACAGCACCTGCCTGGCAAGCGCAAGGTGGCGAGTTCGATTCCCAGTACTGGAAAAAAAAAAAAAACAAAAACAACAAACCCCCCAAAAACGCAAAAACTAAACAGCTTATCCTAACATAACAGGGTAAGGACACTTACGGAAGGCGTGTTTATTCTTGGTGATGGGCACTGAATCCTGGTTCTTGTACATGGCAGACAAGTGCTCAACTACTGACCTGCACTCCCAACTCTTTTTATTCTTTTATTTTGAAGCAGGGCCTTGGTAAAGTGGTAAACGCTGACTTCAAACTGGCAATAATCCTGCCTCAGTCTCCCAAATAGCTGGGATTATGAGGGTGCACCACCATACTCAGCTAGAAGGCTTATTTTTTAAGGGACTGATTTGTTATTGGCTTGATTTAATTTTGTTCTGTAACTGTGTATGGTTCTAAAATCAAATATATACAAAAATCAAACACGGATTTTTCTTTCTTCTTCTTTTTTTTTTTTTTTTTTGTTCTTTTTGAGACAGGGTCTCGCTATGCAGCTCAGGCTGACCTTTAACTCACTTTGTAACCCAGGCTGGTCTCGAACTCACAAAAGTCCTCCTGCCTCAGCCTCCTAAGTGCTGGGATTACAGGCGTGCGCCACCACGCCCGCCAGACAGGCACTTATGCCACTGTGTTATACCCCCGGCCCTTCTTTTTCATGGAGAAAAGGTAAAGCAAAATTTCCTAACACGACAGGAGAGTAATAGTAAATACACTGCATATTATTATCTTTAAAGTCATTACTCAGAACGTAAGATATGGGCATAAAAAATTCTCCAATCAGTATTAGCACAAGCCTTCCTCTTCTATGACCTAAGACACACTAACAGTATAATGAACTTGCACTTTTTCTCCCTTCTCCCTTCCTTCCTTTCCCTATCCTAGTTCCATTTTCCTCTTCAACAATGTCTTCCCGCTTCACAGCATCTGTCGTACATTTTGGTCCTTATTTACACTTTCAGTTTCTCACACGAGGGAGACAGTATGAGGTTTTTTTATTGTTGTTGTTTTTTTTGACAATACGATGTTTACCCATGTGAGTCTGATTTATCACTGACGATGATGGTCTCAGATTGCATCCATTTACCTATGAAAGTCTCCAGTTTATCCTTCTTCATGGCTGAGTAACACTCTATCGTATAAAAACACCGCATCTTTTTTATCCACTCCTCCAAATGGTGGGCATCTGGGTTGTCTCCAGGATCCAGCTATTACAAATTGTGCTGCTATAAACATGGGCACACATGTATCACTGTGGTATGATTTTTTTTCCTTTTTGAGACAGGTTCTCACTATGTGATTCAGGCTGGCCTCGAACTTGCAACAATCCTCCTGCCTCAACCTCCTGAGTACTGGGATTACAGGCGTGCCCCGCTAGAATGATGCCCCCCCTGTACCGGGAATTGAACTCAGGACCTTGCGCTTGCCAGGTAAGTGCCTGTGCCACTGAGCTGTATCCCCAGCTCCTTAGTATGATGTTTTTAATTCTTCTGGGAAGATACCAAGCAGAGGAATAGCTGGGTTGAATGGGACCTCTAAGCCTAGTTTTTGAGGAATCTCCA